GGTGTCAAATGAGATGGAATCCAGACAAGAGTTTGTTTTTTTTTTAATTGAGATATAATTGACACACATTATATTAATTTTAAGTGTACAGCATAATGATTCAATATTTGTATATATTGCAATAAGTCTAGTTAACATTTTTCACTGCACATAATTACAAATTTGTTTCTTTTTTTCCCTGTGATGAGAACTTTTAAGATCTACTCTTTTAGCAACCTTCAAATAAGAAATATAGTATTATTAAAGGACAAGGGTTTTTGCAAGCTATGAAGACATTAAGATGATAGGCGTTTTCAATCTTGAGTCTAATTGGAATAATGACTCTCAAAGTGAGGATAAAACATGAAGAATATTACAAAATATTAATGTCCAAGAAATGATGGGCTTTTCAAGAATGATAGTTTACTTCAATGTGTTTGTTGTAACATAATCTGCCTGCTAGCTTCATATGTTTAATGTTGGTGACCATTAATTAAAACAATGACCAACTAGGTCTTTTCGTGCTTATTTTGAGGATTTTTTTTGGCTAGGGTACAAGAATTACAGCAAAAAGCACTACAAAACAGTAATTGCATCGAGAAAAATCATGCTAAATATGCATCCACTTGAAAATTTGCATTCAATAAATACCATACAAGTAAGTGAACATTCTATTCCCGCACAGGTGGAACAATGTATTCAGTATCTAACTTTTTAAAACCTGAATGGCTGCATGTTCAATGTGTGTTTAAAAGTTTCAAAACGGAAGTACTATTGCTGGTTTAGAACACTTCAAAGAAGCGAAAAGCTCATTAAAAAAAATAAGTAGCTGAGGGAGGGTCTAGCTCAGTGCTAGAGCACATGCTTAGCACACTTGAGGTCCTGGGTTCAGTCCCCAGTACCTCCATTAAAAGAAAAAAAAAGTAAGTAGCAAGGACTGAGCTTACAAAGCAGATGCTCCACCATTTGCTGAATTTCCAATAATACATTTCACCTTTTGAGTTGAGGAAAAAAATAACATTCTTCTTCTTTACTGGTAACTTTTCCCAAATTATGCAAATGAAAAAAGGATTTCTAACCCCGAGGATGTTCTAATGTCACTAAATGAAAAGAACGCAACTTTATTTTGAAATACTCCTTATCATCTCTGTCGGTAACTCTTATTCTTCTCTGTCCACTGGAACTACTCTTTATTCAATACTTGACTGGATTTGAAAGTGTTCCCTTTTTAGGAAAATATTGGAACAATACACATTTAGCAGATGGTGCCTCTACAGTCTACGTTTGTAAGCCTTCTAATACATCTTTTCCTAAATAATAACTTATGAAGCCCCTTTCTCTGTGAGAATTCTTCTTTGAATTTTTTGCTGGGTTCCTTTTTAAAGAAACAGGATTTCCTTGACCCCTAAAGAGATCTTTCTCCTGATAAGATAAAAATACTTCAAACTCAATACAGACTTTGTTATAATCTATGTAGTATGGCTGCTTCTTTTTCTTTTCTTTTTTTCTATTTTTCTGATGAGGAAATTGGGTGCTTCAAACAATCAAGGGCAAATAGATAACTGATGACATCAGTAATCTGCCTCTTGATATTTGACTGTTTACCACTACGCAGCCATATATTTTTAGTATTATTTACCAACCCAAATAGCCAAATTTAGCTTTGAAGTTGCTGGCCATGTTGTATGAATTTGACATGGGTTTCCAAACTCAACGTCAAGTGGCATATGCTTTGAATTATTTTTCAAAAATGGCTAAGCTTACCATAGCTTTTTAAAAAAAATGACACCAGGTTATACGCATCTCTTGTCACTCATTTCCAGCTGATCAAAAACAGCATCATATTCGTAACAACAGCCAGAGTTACAATCAGGATGCAAACAACTTTCTCCCCAAAAGAAGCTAAACAGACTACAGAACAACTTTATTTCACAGTCTTAGCCCCATTAGCTATATGCTCTATGGTGCGGCAAGTCAGTCTAAAGTAATTTAGCTCAGCTTTGGAATATGACTCATTCAGTTATATAATAAGATGAGAGCCACTGAAAGTTTTTGTGTTGATCCATATACACACATAATAGAGCCATTTCAATAAAGTAATAACGGTAAGTAGAATCATAGACACAAAATTGGAAAGAAACGGAGGAACGGTCCAACCAAACTCTTCATGAATCTCTCATCAACATCACTTGCAGGTGATGGCCAAACCTCTGTACAGCTTTACACACACAATCTCATTCTTCCCAGGCCTGGAGAGGTGCCCTTGTTAAGAAGTTATTTTTTATTGTGAGAAAAACTTACCTCTGTGACTTTCATTCTTAGTGCAAGATTCTTTAAACAAAGAAGTAACCAACCAATGAGTGAGGGTCCTGGAAGTCCTTACTTTAATGAGGAATATTTTTGTCTACAATATTTTTTTTCTAAATTCTTTCTCCCTTAGCTGGGAGATGAACGCACTATAAGCAAGAGGATGTGGAATGTATGGTCTAAATCAGCAGATAAGACATAGAATCTGAATAGAATAAACAACAAATGATATAAGGAAGTCCAGACAGGAAGTCAGAACCAGAGATGCCCATGGTCTTGGTATCTCGGGTGCATACTTTTATCTAAAGGTGCAGATACTCAAACTAGCATCACAAAACATGGAGATATTTACGACTAACTGCCAAAGGTTATGCCCCGACTTTGAAAACTCAGACTATCTTTACAAATATAGATTTCCCGAGGGCAGGATTTGTGTTCTTTGAAATAACGAGGAGCCAACAAAATTTCCCCCCATATTTGAGCTCTGTCCATTAGCTACATCTTTGACTTCACTTTCCAACAGAAAGTTTCTTTCACCTTCTCAAATAAATGGGACACACTGACAAGCTGTGAATCAGCTGGAGCAAATTAGCTTCACTAATAAAGGGAGTTTCCTCATAAATTTGATGATTAGTGTTTCCTATTGCCCTAAAAAGATTTTCCAATTATTGAAAAATATTTTATAAAGCAAAACACTCAACACAGTATCAAAGTGACTTGCATTTTGATTTGAAAAGAAAGCTTAGGATGGTGGGACACTGGAGAGAAAAAAGAATGAAGAAAATCTGAGCTCTTTTCCTGCCTCTGTCTCTAGTCCTTGCGTCACCTTGGTCACACAGCCTATAAGAATCCATGAGCATGGAGGGAATTTAAAGAGGCATCTGGTTTAGCACTTTGGCCAATTTAGCTTTCTTCCCAACTATAAAGTTTCTTCACGCCCATACCTAAAGGATAGCATTTTAGGAACAGTATAAATAATTTTCCCCCAAGGAGCAATAAGGGTGGTAATCGCATCTGTGAGGCCACCAGACACCTCGTCTCCACTTTTTTGTTGTTGTTGCTAAGGCATTCACGATCGGGTTTTAAAAGAGCCTCAAGGAGAATACAAATACTAATGTTTAAGAGGGAAAGCATGCAGCTAGTAAAGTGCCCAGTTGTCTGAGATGAATGCTAAGGTTGAGGAGGAGGACAGACAGATAATTGTTTACATATTTTTGATTAAAACAGATTTTTGTTTTCCACTGACTCCACTGTTTGGAAACACACCTAACGCATTGCTAACCAGACCAAAAAGTTGAAAGAAGATAATGTTTGGGAGCAACGTGTCTTTATGTTGGTGGCTCTCACATATCATAGAATAACAGGTTGGTGGACACACTTGGGAAAGGTGACGAGCCTCTAGGACTACTGGCAATTTTAGGGTATTAGGAGCTGCAAGATTGCCCTTATGCAAAGATTAACTTGGTAAGTGAAAACTGATCTTACCGCATGACTTTAAGCCAAAAGCCAAGTGTTGAAAATATGAAAATGTAAAACCTTATTTTTGTATTAGATAGCTAACATTGGCCCCTACTATGTGAGACGGCGCTGTGCCAGCATCATTCCCTTCTGGATATATATTCGGTTTAGAAGTCACATGCTTCTTAAAATTCCTCCAAAATGTAAAGATTCTTCTTGGTTAAGTAGTGGACACTGTCTTGAAGGACATTAACTACATAAATGGCTTTAAGAAAAATAACTGAGACTCACAGATACTTGGGAAAAATGAAATGGCTGTCAACGATTACGACCTTCATATTTTGAAATCAGTAATCATGGAAAAATCAAAGAACATTCTGTAGCAATTCTGTTTGAATAGAAAGAATGAAAAGGACATGATTGATGTGAAAGAGGAAAAAAAACCTCAATGTATTCATTTATTTTAATTAATTTTAAATCAATTCATTCTAGGACTATGAACTGTTCTATTTTTACATGAGTTTTTGAATACTAAATTGCAAACAGATTTTTTTAAAGGTGGAAGTAAAAACATGAAGTAAAGCTGAGGCCAATTAGTCAAAATCTTACCTGAAGTTGCTCTTTGTTCTCTTCTCTTCTCCACTCTCCCTGAAATAAGAAGGCAGATCAGTTACAACGAGCAGCCATGAAAATATGATGTAACCAAGATGAACGCCCAGCCCAGTTTACGGCAAATTCCAGATCGTCTCTACTTCAGGCATGTCCAACCTGCTTCTAGAGATGACTGGGCATAGCTGAAAGGGGTGAAAATTTTCTCAAATCAATTTATGGAAGTAAAAAATAAATGAGTATGCATCACATATGCTGCTGGGTTTTAAAAATCCAGTTAATAACAGTCATTTACTCAACAATAAGCCGACAAGCTGCTAATCCCCATGGAACGAAAAACACACCATTCTAGGTGGGAGCAAACACCTGCATAACATAAGACCACGGCCTCTTACAACCTCCTAGGGGAGATAAAGAACAGACAATACAACCTGAAATGAGATGTGCTTCCAAAGGGTACATGTTTAAAGATATGAGAGGATGAAACAACTACTTTAAGAAATAAGGGGATGCCCATGAAGTTATGGAGAAAATGGTATTTGATTTGGCCCTTGGGAGATACGTATGATTTGGGGAATCTGAAAAAGGGGAAGGATTGATTCTCGGCAAAGAAATAGTATGGGCTGGGTGAGCCAAGGCTATCTCAGCAAGAAGAGTCTGCATAGGGCTTGCTTTGAGAACCTGAAAGACAGCAGTTTTGAGCAGGAGGAGAGCGATCCTAGAGGTTAGGCAGAGAGGCAAGAGATTATGGACTGAGTATGTCAGCGGGAGCAGAGAGCGGGGAAGATGGATGTAAGAGAGGGCAGGAAGGCAGACCTAACAGGGCCCAGGGAGGGCCTCGTACAAAATGTGAAGAGCAAGGGAGGTGGAACGGTCAAGACGAATGTTCATCTAGGTGACTTGCGGTGTGATGATGCAATCCGGGGAAACGGTAAAAAGCGATGGGGGCACAGGGATGGGGCGTTCTGTTTTAGACTTAAGGAGCTGGAAGTGCTAAAGGGACACAGAGCTTGTGAGAGAGATCAGAATTGAAATTACAGATGCAGAGAATGTCCATCTTGAGAAGATGGTTGGACTGGAAGGGGGGAAATGGGAACGTAAAAGCAGACAGAACAGAGGGCTGGGCTGGAAACAAAAGTGCTGTTCTTGTTTTGTGATGTAGGACCATGAGAAGACAGAAGAAGCAGAGATCCATGGAGATCAACAGAGCACAGTCGTTCATGGACCACAAATCAAGTTTTAGGAAGTATGGGGGGGTACCAACAGCATCCCATACTGCTGAGTTTCCATGTCTGCTGTGAGATAGAGATTGTGAGAACAGTTTTAGCAGAGCCGCAGTAGGGAACACCAGAGAGGCTGCGAGGGCTGGAAGAGTAGTGGGTGATGAGGAAGACAGGGCTGAGGAAGTGCCTTCTTGTTCACAATACTTGCCAGCACGAAAATGAGTGAGACGCAGCAATACTTTGAGCAGGAGTTAAGTCAGGGTTTCTGGGACACTTCAGCATATTTATGGGCCTAAATCAGAAACTTTGCACCAGAGCAGTGGTGTGTGTCAACACCACAGCTGAGGTGAGAGACTTGGTTTTGTGACGAGTAAGCGAGGGCCACCCTTCCAGCCATCACTTTCCTGTCAGCCATCGATTTTTCACAGATGGAGCCGCTTATTGAGCATTTACAGAAGCTGTATGTAAACTTTATCTAAGTTTTTCTACCAGCCCTTTACGTCTTTCAAAATCCTAAACCATAAGGTGGAAAATGTACAATCTTTCACTCGTGCAGCTGCCCAAAGTGTAGAATTCAGCTAACTGGCATCTTGATTAATGGCACATTCCATTCACTCGGGTGATTACCAGAGGACTTGTTTGATGCAATTTATGTCAATGATTCAAACAGATAAACGGCATCAATCGTCCGTTTAAAGGCTTCATTCATTACCAAGTGTGATGGGGCACCTCCTCATCTGAGACTTGGCTTGGGCAAGCCACTGAAAATTATTTTTGATGATCAATTTTTGTACACTGGGGGCTCTCAAACATTTTCATGAATTTTAAAAAATGTTATTCATGTCCTGAATTATAAATAAACTATATAAAAAAGATTTAAAAAAAACCCCATCTCTTTGGAGAGTCTTTAACTTGTGTAGGAATGAGTCATAAATCCTGAAAGTTGACCAGGAATGTACTGAAGGTAAATAATGGGGTGTGGTAGTCAGCCCCCAAGGTGACCCGACAGTCCTCGTGACCCTCCTCCTGGTGTTCCTGTTCTTGTGTGGTACACTCCCATGCTGAATTAGACTGACTTGTGTAGCCAATAGGATTTTGCACAAAGATGAAGTGTGGCTTCTGAGGTTGGGCCTTAAAACACATTGTGACTTCCATCTTGCTCTCTCTCAGATCACTTCCTCCCAGGAAGCCAGATAATACCAACCAGGACACTAAAGTAGCCTTATGGAGAGACCCAGGCAGCAAGAAATTAAGGCCTCCTGTCAACAGCCAATGAGGAACCGAGACCTCTTGTCAGTAACCAATGAGAAACTGAGGCTTCCAGTCAGCAGCCAATGAGGAACTGAGGCCTCCAGTTAACAGCCAATGAGGAACTGAGGCCTCCAGTTAACAGCCAATGAGGAGCTGGGGACTTCTGTCAACAGCCAAGGAGGAACTGAGCCTTCCTGCCAGCAGTCGGCATCAATTTGCCCGGCATCTGAGCAGCGCAT